TTTAAAAGGTTTGAGACTTCAGTGTACTGCCCTGATGACAAGCTAAAACTATATATATATATATATATATATACACACACACACAGTATATACGTATATATATTGGAATATATTACAATGTAATTCATTCCTGTGATGGCAAAGCAGCCATTACTTCAGTCTTCAGTGTCACATGATCTTTCAGATATCACGATTCTAATATGCTGAGGAAACAATTGCTCAGGAAATAATTCTTATTATTATCAAAGTTAATAACAGTTGTGCTGCCTAATATTTTTGTGGAAACCATTACACATTAAATTTCTTGCAGGATTCTTTAATGAAAAGAAATTTCAAAAGAACAGCAAAAAAATCTTAATGACCCCAAACGTTTGAAAGGTAGTGTATATTACTTTTTACTATGCAATTCTGACAACATGTTCTAAAGCTTACGTTATTGTCGTTTAAAAATGTCTTACTTTTGATCACCTTCCTGAGATCAGGCCTTTCCTCCAAACGGGTCTGCAGATTGAGGAACTCACTGTAGCGCCGGTTCACCATATGATATACAACAGGCTGATCAGACTTTGAACTCTCTGAATCGCCAGCGGTTTTATACTACGAACACACAAAACGCAATGAATCAATACTGAATTAGTAAAACAGGTAAAGAAAATGCCCCTCAAAAATTCCTTTTCATGTAATGCACTGATTCCAAGTTATGTTCCAAATTAAATACAATAAAGGAAAAGTCTTCCTGTAATTTCTGAGAATCTCACCTTTATAGTGTAAAGAGTATAAGGATGAGTGCTGTTGCTTCTTTGCTCTTTGGCTGTGCTGGTCCCAGTGATTTGCAAGTTCTGAATAGTTACCGGTCCCTCTAGATTTCCCAAGTTATCAAAAACTAACGAGTCCAGACCAAGGCTTCTGGGGATGGAGTTTGATGTGTAAATCAGGGGTTGGACTGGACACTCTTCCACTGTACTCTCCGGTGATGGAGGCTCTGAAATTATCACATTTTGTCTGAAACACTTCTCCAAAAGACCCAACGTGTCTTCCTCCAGACAAACCAAGCCACAAAAGTCTGAAGGAGACATGCAGTCGCAGAAGTTCTCATCATCTGAGTCTGTTCGTTTCAAAGACTCACTAGATATCTTTCTCTCATCTGAAGAGGGTGAATCCAGGTCGTAGTCAGTGTGTTTATAGAGGCGGCTGGTGCGGTAAGGAGATCTGAGCAGTTCGGCTGTACTTTGGGTCATTCTTTCTGGAAAAAGAATGCTGGAACTTCTCGTCCCTTGTACATTTTCATCAGAGGACCACTGACTCTGGAAACTTGTTTCAGATGAATCATGAAGGGGAGCTGTGGATTCAGACCAAGCTGTCTGCATGCTGGAGGTTTCAGGACAGTTGAAAGTAATTGGGGAGTCACAATCCCAGAAGCTGCCAACAGATTCTTCCTCGTTTTCTGGAGGTGTTTGCTGCGGGCTTGGTGCTTCTTTGTCAGTGGATTGGGTGAACACATTTACAATGGTCTGGTTTAACCAATCTGGATTGGATATTCTTGCCACGAGGGGCAGAACAACATTGCAGGTGATGAGCTCTCCCACCATGTACCGGCCTGTTCTTGTTTCCAAGTGAGATTTGGGAATAAGGATGTGCATGAGGAGATCTACCAGTGCTCTGGTGTAGCAGAGCTGGTTAGCTGGGCCAGTAAGGGCAGGGTGAGGAAAATCAGCTCTAATGTACAATCTCCGTAGTTTTTGTGAGTTTGAAAAAGTTTGGTTAGACTCTTCTTGCAGTGTGCGTTGGCGTTCCTTGGCTTGGCTAAAGCTTTGCAGATGGCATCCGCAAAGCTCTAGAACCCTCTGGGACAGTGCTCTCCGGTCCACCTGCTTCGCCCTCCTCTTCAGTTCAGCGGCCACCTCCAGCATGGCATCCCTCACCTCCCATTCAAACTCATCCCCTCCTTTAGAAACAGAACTGCAGTACCAGGATGACACAAAGTCCCGCACAGCCTTGTCAACGGCACTCTGAATCTCCCAATCCAGCCTTTGTTCACTCTCTGAGGTAGTGTGAACTTCAGGGGACTGACGCAGCGGTAGAAAGTGCTCCAAATGAAGGAGGCTGTTGGCATCCAAAGCGACACGAGATCCCAGCCATCCACCCAGCACGACCAACAGACTGGTGAAGATGCACAGCAGCCACACATTCACCAGAAGATGGAACAGAACTAACCATGCAATCAAAACTACAACTCCAAGAATGCTCCTCTGCCCCAGTAACTCAGAGAAACTCCACGGATTTGGATTGGCAGCACCAGGCATTTTGTCACATCTGAGATCTTAAATTGGAAAGGGATGGACTGTC